ACAAAATGGATAGAAGGTAGTTATCAAACTATCATCGCGTGACCAGCTATAGAAACAAGGACTGTACTTTTTCTCTTTTGCTAATTCACTTGTGCATATGTACACATATATTGCGCACATATCTCCATTTTTTTCCTTTGTAACATAATGTTCGCACAAGTAATATTGGTTCTTAAATACTGCTAAACCTACACTGAATTATAATGTTTAAATTAGACAATGTCAGGCATAAGCATTACCAAAAGTAAAGTTTTACCTTGTATTCTGGGGAGGGACTTAGTGTGCTTCTGCTTGTACACAGGACACTTGTAGCATGTTTGGCATAATGATGAACTTGTTATTGCATCTGGAGACTAAGTATGAATTAAGGGAAAGTGCCTGCTCATCAAGCTGACAAGGGATAGAACATGATAGGTGACTGTGATGTCAACTTGAAGCTTGTAGCCAGGATGTAATGGACATAGTACAAAGGCAAAGAAAAAGTAAGTCTTGTTTCGGATTCCTGCCTTTGAAATTCTATCTCTAGATTTCTAGCACAACCCCTTTGCCACTCATACATATTTCTGCAGTGAGCTCCAGGCCTTCGACTTTCAACTGGATCCTCCCACTCTACAGCATGCTTTTGCATCTTTCCACACTTGAGTCTTCTTCAGGTGGCTACTATAAAGCCTACTTATATAAATAAAATTTTAGAAAAAGGTCTACAGGGTGTTCAGGGTCTCACTACTAGATCGGACTCATAGTGACCTGCCAGTTTACAGTCTCCCAAAAGCTGGGATTACAGGCGCGCACCACCATGACAGGGCCAGGGATCAAACCCCTGGCCCCTGTGCCTGCTTGCAAGTGCTTTATCCGCTGAGCTATTTGGCCGATCCTTGGTAATACTTTATACATCATATATTTTATATCTTTTCTTCCCCAGAAAACCAAACTGATACACTATACATACAATGAAATATTATTTGACAGTGCAAAGGGATAAAATATACTGATACATTTTATAATATAGTTCAATGCTGGAAATATCAAGCTAAGTGAAAGATGACAAATACTTAATATTCTATCTTTAGACACAGAAAGCAGATTAGTACTTGCAGGGAATGGAGGAAAAGGCATAAGAGAATAAGTACTAACAGGTACAGGGTTTCTTTACAAGATGATAAAAATGTACTGGAATTCAGTGGAATAACTGTGATGGTAACAAAGAACTGTGAATATACTAAATACCACTGAATTGCATGCTATACTCGTAAGGATAATTTTATGTTATATATATTTTTCCACAAAGAACAACTCAAATCATTACACTATACATAGGAAAATGCAGATTACTAGTCAGATTAACACAATAAATAACTGCTCAGAATGACTCAACAAACAATTACACAGTTGCTTTTAGGAAAAAAAGGACTATAATAAAAAAGGTTATAAATTGATGTTTCTTAATCAAAATTCAATGAACTTCACTTTACAATGAAAAAAATATGTAAGCAATTAACAAAAAAGGAAGTGACATAAAAAAGGAACTGACATATAACTTTGAAAAATGATATTTTAACTGGAAATTATAAAATTATAGCAAAAAGGAATCATAAACACTGTATTCTAGTTAATACATTTGTTTCTCACAGTAGTACAAAGGAACAATTCTGAAACTGCCTTACATATAAAAGAGGCTGAACAAAGAAGTCCAAAGCCAGTAAATGGTGGGAACTAAAATTTTCAGTGTTAGAAAGGCAAGACAGTAATTAAGGAAAAGGATAAAATGAACCTTGGGTACTACATTAAAAATGAAGGCAACATTATGGTTGCTTGTAACATACACATAGACATATGAATTAAAATACATGCATACATCATAATCTAGCTCTGTCCGCTGAGAAATCCTAGAAGCAATGACACTTGTAGCAACAAACATACACAGTGCCTACATCTCAGAAATGACATTTGCTAGGCCAGCCAGATAGCTCAGCAGACTAAAGTGCCTACTTTGAAAGTCAAACAGACAGGGTTCAATCCCCGGCATCTCGTGCCAGGTCCACCCCCCAAGCCATGTTGAGACTGCAATTGAGACTGGGAGTGGTGGCACATGCCTGTAATAATAGCACTCGGGAGGCTGAAAACAGGAAGATCACTACAAGTCTGATCTGTGCAGTGAAACCCTGTAGTCCCTGTACTAAATACATTTTTTTTAAAAAAAGAGAAAGAAATGACATTTTTCAATAAAACGATCCATGATGTAATGGGTGAAATGGCACATTCTGGACATGGGGGCAATATAACATGGACCTGCAGGGTCTTATTTTACTAGAAGGTAATGAACTTCTCAAGAACAAAAAAATATGTGGGGATACATCAAAGGGATACAGAAATTAACTTAAGAAAACTTCCAAAGGCCAAAGTGAAACGATCTGAATAACAAAAGAACCTTAGTTTATGGTTCAATATGCATTAAAAATTAGTTCATACTAATACAAACAAATGACAGAATAACATCATCATTTATGTCATATGGATATCATGTATCTTTTAAAATGATAACAAAGAAGGTACTTTGAAAACTCTATTATAGTCACTTAAAAACTTATACCCTCATTTTAAACACAAGAAACACTTTAAAAACTCTGATTAGGGACCACTCTACAGGATATATGGACAAATAGTTCTCCAGACTGGTAAGACAGTAATAAACAAGCTGAAAAATTGCTGCAAAAAGTCACCATACGAATGACCAAAAGACAGTAAGGAGATATGACAGATGAATGCACTGTGGTACCCTGGATGGAAAAACTAGTTTGCAATTTAGTTAATGATGATGTGCTAACAATTTGCCAATTTTTGGGTTTTGAGAAACTGATTATGGCAATGTAAGACATTAATAATAGGGGTACAGGGAAATATTTTATGGGAATCATCTATGCTATCATTTCAACTTTCCTGAAAAAAAGAAAATTATCACAAAATAAAGATTTCTTTTGAATGCCACCAGATGACAAATATCAACCTTCACATAAGGAGCTGTAATCTCTTTATTACTATTCATTTTCTCATAGACAAAAAAGCACCTTAAATGCCTGAAACACCTGCTTTAAATTGTTGTTGAAACTACTGAAATGATACCATTCATTATGAATTCTCCAATCATAAAGCAACCACACAATTTTTAAGACAACCACTTTGATTATGGAAAAAAGATATATTTATAAGTAGGCCTTAAAATTTACAACTGCAAAATTACTTCATAAATGATACAGTGATACCTTAGTTCACAAACTCAATTCTCCACATGATTCTGGTCACAAAACCCAAATGGATGAGAACTTACAAATTTCCTCATAGTGTCAACAATGAGGACCAACCAGATAGTCAGCGGATTAAAACACCTGCTTAGGCAGAGCCCAGGGGACGGGGTTCTATTCTGGGCACCACAAGCCATGCCAGCCCCATCTCCGGGGTATGCTGAGACAGTGATTGAGACTGGGCATGGTTGTGCATGCCTGTAATCCCAGCACTTGGAAGGTTGAAAACAGGAGAATCACTACGAGTCCAATCTGTGTAGTGAGACCCCGCACTAAATAACCAAAAAAAAAAAAAAAAAAAAAATTTAATGTTGAGACAGAATCTCACAATCACTAGCTTCCCAAGCTGGGCTCGAACTTACAGTCTTCCTGGATTGCAAAAAAACAAAAAAAAAAAAAAAAAAAAAATGAACAATAAATCTAACCACTGAATTTGATTTGGTTCTTATCCAATTTGGTTTGTGCCCAGAACTGTAAGAATTTAGTTTGTGAACTGAGGTACCTCTGTAATTATATCATTCTCCAAAAACAGACAAACCACTGGACTATAAAGACTACTATTAGTTTTGCTGTTGTTGTTGAGGGAGAGTGTTGAGACAGGGCCTCACTATGTACTGGAGGCTGGTCTTCAGCTCAACCTTCTAAGTGCTGGGATTACACAAGCTCTGATGAGACTATTATTAACTTTGCAAATGAAAATTATCAAGACTTTCTTGGCAAACATAAAGTCTATAGTGTCTTAAAGTAACAACATTTGAAGATGTAGAAGTTGTGCACGTAATTTAAAAGTTTAAGATTAAAAACTTGATTTTCACTTTGCACACAACACAACTTGGTGCTTTTCTAAGTACACAAAAACAACAAATAGGGCACAGTGGTATACACCTCTAATCTCAACACTGAAGAGGGTGCTGTAGGAGGATTGCCATTGAGTTTGAGGTCAACCTGAACTACACAGTGAGACTCAGTGTCACAAAGTAAACAAACAAAGGTCATAGATTTGGCTCTCATATGAAATTATAATTAATAAAGGAGATTATAATTAACAGGGGGCCAGGGAGATGGCTCAGTGGAATAAGCGCTTCCCTGGCAAGCGCAAGTGCCTGAGTTCAATCCCTGGTTCTGCCAAAAAAAAAAAAGGACTAATGATACTGGAAATATTAACCTTCCATACTGATTACCCTTTAAAAGAAGTCAGTAAACAGCAACTCTTTTGTCAACATGAATGCTGGAAAGAGGCTTAACAGGTTTCAAAGCATGTAGAGAGTTCATAACCACCTAATGCTCACACAGCTGTAAGAATATTTGACTGTGACACTAAGTAGCTGCTGCACTGTTGTCTGAGGTGTCCTCTGAAAACTCTAACACTCCAAATTTAAGAAATTCTGAACAACTAGCAACATGAGGGGGTACTTTATCTTAATGAAAAAATAACCAATATTAAGAACCAAAAAGAGAAAACTCTTAAGTATACATGAATCAAAAACCAGTACTTAAAAAAAAAACAGTACTTAGGGGCCAGGGAGATGGCTCAGTGGAGTAAGTGCTTCCCTGGCAAGCGCAAGGGCCTGAGTTCAATCCCCAGTTCCACCAAAAAAAAAAAACCCAGTATTTAGCAGTTGCTCAATTAGTATTTGTTATATATAAAATATAAACATATTTTTCAACATTTTTTTAAAATCAGTATTTGTTAAAATTTACCTGGATCAACTAAAGCTTTATTAAATATTTCTTTCAGTTTTCGACTCTTCACATTTCTTCCTTGAGCAAGATTCCGATACATCTCATACCCTATGATCATAACACCACCATCTTCTTGCCACCTTTGCAGCATATAGCTTCTTTCTTGAGGACGTTTCACAGTTGCTAACTCAGAAACCTTTTATGGGAAAATAAGGATTTTTAAAATTTGCTATTAAAAATGTACAAAAACTACATAATGCCACTGAAATATACATCATTAGCAATCAATTTTTCTTTTACTATGAACTTCATACAATTATTTTGACAATAGAAAACATATAAAATATTATACCTCAAGCTTTTCATCATCTCTTAATCCCTCTTGCCACTTCTCAAATTCATTCATCCAATTCAAAGCAGTATTAAGAGGACAAACTACTAAAGCAGTACTGAAGTCCAATTTGTCACACAAAAGAACTGTGTGAAGAAAACTTACCACCTACAAGAAAGCAAATTAAGTTGCCACTTACACATAAATATCCACAAAAAAGTTAGTAATCAAGCACTGTTACAATTTAATGGTTTTGTTTTGCTTTAGACTATAAATCAACTAACAAACCACCAGGTTAAGTAAAAGAAAGAATTAAAATAGTAAAATGAGAAAGATGAAGCCTACACTGTACAAGGTCCTTCAGATTCTAAAGTTCCATGTCTGTATGATCAATATGAATATTATGAATGAAATCTTATTAAAACAAAACATTCTTCATAGAATATGCCAAAGCCTCGCAAAAAATACCACTGTACATTTAAGACACAATTCTTCAATGCTATACTTTTCCAATTTAGTATGTCCTGATATAGAATTATACATCCCTGCTACATTACCTGCCATTTAGAACTGTTGTATTGTTTTGTTTTGCTTCAACTCAGTTGTTGGCACTAGTGGGGATTGAACTCAAGGCCTTGCACATGCTAGGAAGCACATAACGTGGTCATCTTAATAATGAAATATTTTTTCAAAAGCCAAGTGTGGTGGCACACACCTGTAATCCCAACACTGGGAAGGCCGAGGCAGGAGTACAAGTTTGAGTTCAAGGCCAGCCTGGACTACAAAGTGAGACGCTTTCTCAAAAAAATAAAAATTTATTACTGCAGCATCACAGAGTATTTAAAGTTGTAAATGAAGTTGCCACCTCAATGTCTTTGCAGTTATTGTTGGCCATACCTGAAGCCCCACACTTCATGAGGATATCTACTCAAATATCACCTCTTCCCTAATTCTCAATCCTCCTTTGCTGGATTATCTGAATGAGTAATTTGTTACTTAATTTTCTATTAGAATATAAGATTCTAGGGGAAAGACTTTGTTATTCTTGTTCACTGTTTTATCTCCAGCCCCCAACACTCCTTGGAACGTAAAGAAACCAATATATATTAAAATATGCACAAAAATATGATACTTCCATATTCTTTAGTTCTTACCTGCAAAGTCTTACCAAGGCCCATGCAGTGGGCAAGAATACATCCTGAACCTGGAGATTTTTTTGTTTTCTTCACAGACTCACAACAGCAATCCCACATAAACTGAACACCTAAAAATGACAGTTTTTATTAAACTAAATTTAAAGGTTCAAGTTGAAATTCCTTACATATAAACATAGCAAGAAGAAACAAAGCTTCTAAGAAACAGAATTTTTAAATACTACTTGGCGTTAAAGAAATTCATATACATAAATGAGATCTTACCACCAATAAGATAAATTTTAAAAAGCCACAAGCTTGCAACAAATAAAGTGTCTTTCATTTATAATATCCAAGGTCATACAGATTTTCTCTATATCCTAGACAGAGACTTGAAAATACTTAAAAACCTTATCCAAAAAGGGAACAACTTTCTATCAAATATATTTTCAATTTTATTCACCCAATCTGAAAAGGGAAACAATTCCCAATCTCTCTTTTATTAAACAGTGAAGACAGAGCAAGGAAGGGGTCTAGCAAAGGAATATACTTTGGTACTAGCAATATGTGAAAATACAGATTTTTTTAAAGTTGCTATTAAAAATGTACCCAAAAAAGGTACTATAGAAATTTTCTTATGAAATAATTCACATATTCATTCAAAAAAGACTTAGTGACTCCACTTTAATAAAGCAGGAATTACAGATAGTTGCACAACTTATTAATACCAATTTAGTAATTTTATCTTATTCTATTGTTTTTGTTTTTTTGCGGAACCGGGGATTGAACTCAGGCCCTTGTGCTTGCCAGGGAAGCACTTACTCCACTGAGCCATCTCCCCAGCCCCAATTGTTTGTTTTTTGAGATAGGGTTTCGCTAAGTAGCTCAGACTGGCTTTGAGCTCATTTTGTAGCCCAAAGTGGTCTCAAACTCACCAACAATCGTCCTGCCTCAGCCTACCAAAGGCTGGGATTAGAGGCATGTGTCACCACATCTAGCTGGAATTTCATTTTAAAACCTAATTGAAAATGCTGAAATAGCATTTACTAAAGAAGGCTTTGAATTCACTGTAGTTATCCTACTCCTTCTGCCAAACTAATATAGATTATGACATCCACTTGCTATACAAACTTACACCCATTTGTTTTTTATTGTATTTGTTTTCTTGAGACAGGGCCTCACTATGTAGTTCAAGCTGGCCTTGAACTACCTGCAATGCTATGGCCTCAGTCAGCTGAGAGCTAAAAGGTAAAGATGCATGCTTCCATGCCTGTCTTTATACATGCATTTGTAAGAAACCTATTTTCCCTATTATAACACTCACTGTGTTAGCACAATCATCTAATTGTGTTTTTTCTCATTTAAGGATCATGTGAATTTTTTTTTTCTTTTTTTTTTTGGCAGAACCAGGGATTGAACTCAGACCATTGCACTTGCCAGGGAAGCGCTTATTCCAATGAGCCATCTCCCCGGCCCCATCATGTTAATTTTTGCTCACCAATTTATCACCAGTGCTTAGCAGAATGTAAGGCACATAGGAGAAACTACATATTCGTAAAATATAAATAAAAGTGACGTAAACATTTAATAGTTTCTTACCATCTACTTGATGGGGCTTTAATTTGATAACCATATTTCTATGAACCTGCACTAAAGGTTCTTTAGTTTCTTCATCTTCATCTAAAACCAATTTGGTTGTTATTGGACATTTAGTGGGTGAAGCATCTTCAATTTCTATGACCTACAAAAAAAGAGTGGTTGATAGATGAGTTCATAAAAATCTTTCAGGCAATGGTGGGATTATCAATCTTATGGAGAGTTACAAAAGAGAGATCTATATTCCCATATTCCACATTCATTACTTTGGTTAAGTCTAGGATAGAGACCAGGTTTATATATTCTCCAAAATAAAAACTGCTACAGGACTTGAAACACTCAGTAATACAATAAATGTAGCTTAACACTTTTCCACTCCAGTATCTTAATACACGTTAGGTAAAATTATGAGGAAAAAAAACCTCCCAACAATTCTATAACAGTGCCATTAAAATTTGAAAAAGACACCTATATTCCGGGACAGGGGAGATGGCTCAGTGGTCTAAAGCACCTACTTAGAACAAGTTTAGCAAATCACAGGGACCGCAGTTCAATCCCCCAGCACCACATGCCAGCCAGCCCCACCCCCTGGTGGGCTGAGCTGCCCCCCCCCACACACACACACAAATAAATTATAAAAAAATTATTAAAAAAAAGACACCTATATTCCAACCAGGAACAGTTCTTTCTACAGGACAAGTGAAAACATTTGAGGGCACCTATGCTTGTGACGACTGGTCTTAACTGACACTAAGTGTTGTAATAAAAAAAATACAGTGAATACTTAAATTTAAAAATATCTACAGAAAAGGACAAACTACTACCAATACACCTCAAAATATTCTCCCTCACTTTAAACTCACTTCTCCCACCACCTTCTTTTGGAGACAAGGTCTCAGTCTGTAGCTTGAACTCACTATGTAGTCTATGCTGGCCTTGAATTCACAGCAGTACTGCTTCAGCCTCCTGAGTGCTGGGATTACAGGCATATGCCACCACATCCAGCTGGAATTTTATTTTAAAACCTAATTGAAAATGCATAAATAGCATTTACTAAAGAAGGCTTTTGGGGCTGGGGAGATGGCTCAGTGGAATAAGTGTTTCCCTGACAAGCGCGAGAGCCTGAGTTCAATCTCCGGTTCCGGAAAAAAAAAAAAAAAGAAGGCTTTGAGTTCAGCGTACCTATCCTACTCCTTTTGCCAAACCAGTATAGATTATGACACTACCATACCCAGGTTCTCCCATCATTTTTATCACTTAATGAAGCAATTCTGGAAATCTGCTTTCATGCTTTTAGTTGTGCTGCCATGGTTTATGCCCTGAATCGATTGAAAACATTTATCTCTTATGATTAATTTCATGCTCAGAAGAGTCAGAAGTTACATGGTACCATATCTAGTAAATAAGGTGGATGTGATGACACACCATAGCATTTTTATGAGTCTGCTTTTCCACAGAATCACACTCAGCATCAGCATTCATATTCTTCTCTTACAGAAACCCAAGAAGGAGGACTTCTAGGACTGTTTCAGAAAATGGCAAGGACATAAGTATGTCTGAAGTGTGAGGAAGTATTTTGAGTTGGATTAATGACAATGTACCTTTTGAAAAACCTTAAAAGTCACCACATATTTTGATCATTCCTAGATATAGGAAGAGAAGTGAAATGTAAACATCTTATGCAGTGAAATATAATCTCAAACAAGAACAGACCCATCAAGGATGTCAACATGACTCCAAATGGAAAACACTGTAAATATATGTTGTAAAAGGAAAAAAAATCTAAAAACCTCAAGCTCAAAAAGCATGACAACAATACACGACAGTTAATTACAAAAGGAAAACCATTATCTTAAATTCCTTCTTTAGAACAAAACTTTGAACTAGGGTTATATTAGGGGTAGACTGTTTGCCTAGCATGTGCAAAGTACTGAGTTTGATCCCTTGTATCACATCACATCACACATACACAGAGACCAGTTTAAAATAAACTTAAGAGATACATACATACACAATCACAAATGTATCAATATACATGCACATCTTTTTTGTTATCCTATCTCAATGTTTGTTTATTACATAATATACCTGTTAAATGTGTGTAGGGTTAGGTACAAGCATTCCCACTTCACAAATGCACAAAGAAAAAAGAAAAGAAAGAAACAAAGAAAGAATGAACCAACCAACAAACACAAAACCTAAGGAACAGAAAAGAAACCTGCCTAAGTTCACACAACTGTCAATTATCACAGCGGTGAGATTTATACCCAAAGTACTGGTCTCCAGAATCAACTCTCTTAACTGCTGCAAATTACCACCTTAACAAAAGAAATGCGTTGATAAATAATTTTATGATTTAAGCATTAAAGACTAGAATTATTTGAAATTAAAAGATTATTGTTTAAGGAATAAAATTTTTCTTAAAATTGTAATGAAGAAAAATCAGATTTTCTTCATTTGTAAAAATTGTTGAGCACATACAAAATCAGACACAATAGAATAATGAACTCTATTATCCATTACATAGCCTCAAAAAACATCAAATTATGCCATTTTGTTTTATGAATATTTTCCCATCCATTCTTCAACTCCCAGAGTCTCATGATTTATTTTGAAGCAAACATAGGAAAGGATGCAATGTCATCTGTATTTGTTTTTTTTAACATTTATTTAGTGTGTGTGTGTGTGTGTGTGGCCAGCTCAGCCCACCAGGGGGCGGGGCTGGCTGGCATGTGGTGCTGGGGGATTGAACCGCAGTCCCTGTGCTTTGCCAAGCTTGTTCTAAGTAGGGGCTTTAGACCACTGAGTCATCTCTCCAGCCCCTGTCATCTGTATTTGCACATGTCTCTTTTAAAAAGTAATTCTTAAAACCTTAACTACAGTACCTTTATCACAATAAAAAAATTAAGTTTCAGATTGGAAATAAAAGATCTGAAAAGTGTGCGTAACTTAAATTTTAAGTGATACCACAAACGAAGATTTATACTGGGAGACAACACAAAATAAAACTAGCACAGGTTATATAGATTCAAATTAAATTTCAACATGCAAACTAAATCCTCTTAGATGTAGTAGCATCTGCATATTTAAACTAGAAAAGATTGCCCATAGCCTTCCCAAAGCTACTACAGCTACTATATAAGACAATGCATGTAAAGCACCTAGTAAAGACTAAGTATTCACTAAATTATTATTGTTTCCTAACACAGATGTATGCCAGCTTCATAACACTGAGGTAAAGTCAATAGAAAAAAATAGAAAATTCCCCTAAATACTTTTTCCTGTTAGATACGGCAGTCAGAAACTCAAAATGGTCCCAAGATTTCCATCCTGTATTATAAACATCCTGTAGACTTCCCCTTAAGTGTGTTTGAAATCTGTAAATATGATGGATTATTAGTATCATTTCCCTAATTCGGCTACTAAATGAGTCTGATTTAATCAAGATAGATAACCTCCTAGGTGGACCTGACTTAATTAAAGTAAGTCCTTTAAAAGACTGCAATGATTTCCTGTGTTCTCATAGATAAAACAAAAGTCATGCTGTGGAGAAAAAAAACTAAAAGATAAGAACCCAAGTGCTACAAGTACAAAGAACTGCATTCTGTCAACAAGTGAGCTGGGAAAGAAGACATCCCAGATAAAAGCAGGGACCCAGAAGAGCTATGCTCAGCTAACCTACTCCTAAGAGAACTGTAAGATAACAAAGGAGTAAAAACAAGATGTGGTGACACATGCCAGTAGTTCCAGTAATCTGAGAAGCTGAGGCAGGAGAATTCCAAGCTTAAGCCCAGCTAAAACAAGTTAATGAGACCCTTTCTCAAGAAAAAGAAATGGGCAGAGGCTAGGTGTATATATGCCAACCTGATAATCTGCAAACAATACATGAATACCTAAGGCTTTATTTGAAATTCTGCAACCAAAAACTCATCAGTGATTTGTATGATATTTTTAGATACTAAGTACTATCTTCAGAACTAGAGATTGATATGTCTTGATACTGAATACAGGAAGAGATTATTTATGAAGAAGTTACATGCTTTTCAGTGAATACACAGATACCTTTATGAACTCAACCTGTAACACAACTAATAACCAACAGCAATGAAATGGGAGTACTTAGAACAAATGACCAACCATGCCATAGTATAAAAACTGAAGGTATAAAATGAATCCCACATATGAATTGAACAAAGGGAATAAAGGTGGAGAAAACACACTTAAGCAACATATTGAAAGGATGAGTTGAACATTAAAAAGGTTGAGACCAACTTCTGATTCTAAGTCACAACACAATATTAGAGACAGAGCTTATCGTTCTCCTGTAATCAATTAGAAAAGTTGATAAAATATATGAAAAAATATTTTCACATGTTAGATAACAGGTACCAACAGGACTCTGAGCCTTGCGAGAAGAAAACCCAACAGAAGTCTTGTGTTCCCTTTGAACTGGCACTTAAAGAGACATTCCACAGTTAGGGAAAAAGGGCATCTTTGGAGTTCCTTGCAACAACCAACCAACAGGCTGCTCAGGTTGGAAGATGGCGGCAGAAGACTGCTAACTCTGAGTAGCCAGAACATGTTAAAGTTGGGATGTTTTGCCAGCTACAGCAGAAATTGGCCTTACTGGGGAAACAAGGAAATTCTGTAGGGGCAATCAGACAAGAGTTAAGCATTCAGCCAAACTGTCACAATGCCTTGCTTTTGCCTGCCTTGCTACCTAGAACATCTGCACTCAGCATAATTCTATGCCTTTGTTATTCCTCAAGAAATCTGGGTGCTTCAGTCAGTTTGGGCCTTCATTTTGGTGGAGTCCCCAACCCTTCTCAAAGATATTCTCTCTCACATCTTCATTTGTCTCTCAAACAGGGTTTGCTGGCCTGAACAAAACAGGTGCCAAAGCAAAGCACTGGGTTTTTATGTTGAGCTGATGAGACAAAGGTCAAGCTGAGAGGCTGGAAATTGCTGGGCAGAATTAAAAACAGAAAGAGTCTTTGAAAAGACTGCCAGAAATCAACACAATTGTCCCTATGTGTCTTACCTAAACATTAATATGCATACATGAGGTATGAATCTCTGTAAAACCAAAAAACGTATGACCAATAAGCTGTACGGTAACCAATTCCTAGTGATTACATAGTACTG